GGTCTTCTGCAAGAACAGCCAGTGTTCTTAACTACTGAGCCACCTCTCCAGCCCCATAAAAAGAAATTTTATGCAAAGCTGTATCATATGAATCAGCCCAAAGAAGAGGGGCTCTGTGTGAGGTCAAATTGGGGATCTGAAGCTTCCTTGGCTCCTGGCCCAGCCCCAGCTCTCACTAACATGACAGAGCGGGGAGGCAAATAGACTCCTGGCTCTTGATGTCATTCATACACATGACGCATGGTACAGAGATTCACATCACTTGGGAATCCAGGTGATTTCCACCCTGTGTAAGTGCTACACACTCACGTGTCCATTGGCAACGTCCAGCAGATCACGCAGCCGGCAGCCCCTGCGGTGTCGGCGTTCATAGCAGATGCTGTCTTCCAAGATCACAAAGTCAGTGCCGAAGGACCTCAGCAGTGCGTGCACTTCCTCCGGGGACCTCTTTGCATATATCTGATAGACCTTCACATGAGACAAAAATGAAATGGGCATTCATGCCTCTCAACTGCCTGGGAGTTCATGGAAGATGTGAGAGAATGTTCCACGGGGTGATACTAAGTATGACCTGACACTCAAATTCCCCGCCCAGGCTACCACTGTCCTGTCAGCCACAGTCTGGAGTAGGGGAGCAGAATTTCTAACGGGATACTGTAATTACTGAATAGGAAGCGGGAGAGAATCATGCTGAACACCACATCTGGCTTCAGATACCACAAAGACTTGGATTCAGAATGTACTGTTACGAATATATTAATCATATTACAATTTAAGAATGATTAAAATGTAACTGAGCCAGTTAGACTAGCAAGGTAGCAAGGTGTGGCACAGCCTCTGTGTGTGCTGGGGGGGGGAGGGGCAGCTTCTGGCAGTGGCAGGGGAGAAAGGACTCAAGTTCACCTCAGCTCCTCCCCTGGAGCCCAGGGAACCTGCAGTATGAAGCAGCAGATTCCCAGAGGCACCCTGACCCCTTGGAGTCCACTATCATCCACCCTGAGCAAAAACACAGCACACACCAACTGCCAGTCCTCTGTTCTCGGAGAAGGTGCTGTGGGGCACAGCACAGGGCTATGAGGAGAGGTCTTGTCACCTTTGTTACCTTCATTTCTATCCTGATTCCTGACTGACATGGTCTAACGTGAGGTATTCACGGGCACAGGCCAAATGGTAAGATAACCTGATTTTACTGCCCCTAGGGTCCATCACTAGGCTCAGCTGAGGCATTCTGAGCACTCCAAGTCCTGACTAAGGAGGAACAATAGAGTCCACATAGGCCCTGAGTTTTTAGGACATCACACTTGGTCTCTCTGGTGTGGGTGTGTGAGGGGGTGGCGGCACATAAATGCCTTTCCATAGCCTGAGTGCGGCTGGCCACCTTCTGATGGAACCTTCTGTCCTACCAAACTTGGAGCTATATCTGTAACACTGGGGCCAGCTGAAAAATTCCCATCTTAGCAGGAATCCAAACTCAAGAGAATTTCCCTTAAAAGACTGGGCATCAGAGCCGGGTGTGGTGGCGCACGCCTGTAATCCCAGCACTCGAGAGACGGAGGCAGAGGCAGGTGGAACTCTGTGAGTTCAAGGTCATCTTGGTCTACAAAGTGAGTTCCAGGCCAGCTGGGGCTACAGGGAGACCCTGTCTCAAATACAAAGAAACAAAAAAACAAACAAAAAAATCCTGGGCATCTGGCTGAGCATGATGGCCTTCAATAGCAGCACTTGGGAGGCAGAGGTGGGTGGATCTCTGAGTTCAAGGTCAGCTTGGTCTACATAGTGAGCTCTAGGCCACAGGGAGACCCTGTCTCCAAAAAGCCAAAAAGCCAAAAAAAAAAAGCAGGCATTTATTTATTTTTTTAAATTGCTTTTTGACTAGTAAAATCTCACCTCAAAACAAGATGTTTTCTGCTCTTCGACTAAAAATATTAAGTGGCTGGTATGAACCAGACATGGTGGTGCAGGCCTGTAATCTCAGCACTCAGAAGGCTGAGGCAGGAGGATCACAACTTCAAGGTCAGCCTGGGCTACACTCAGACTATTTCAAAAACGAGTGAGCAGCATGGAATATTCAGAATCCTTGCTGATGAGGACTGGGGTTCCAGGCCTTCCTGCATTGTTGACTGCATACAAACTATAAAACCTAGCCATCCAAATGGCAATTCCCCATCTGCGAATTTGGATGCGCCAGTAGACACTGTGTGTATAAAGGCAGACACGTTTACTATTCGGACCTCTCTATGCATGTTTTCAAAGGCTGGGAGGCAGCCTAAATAATTAAATACAATGCACCACACCCACACAAAGTGTTGTGAAGCTTTAAAAATAGCAAGGAAAGCGCTGGGGATGACTCAGTGCTAGAGTGCTTGCCTCGAACGTGAGGCCCTGCCCATACACAGCTCTGAATGAGCTCCAAATCCAGGGTCAGGAAAACATGAGGTGAACTGCGCTAGTGCTTTTGGAAGAAAAAAAATCTCAAGGACATATGGGACTGGAGTGATGGCTCAGTGGTAAAGAACACTTGCTGATCTTTCAGAGGACCCAAATTTGGTTCCCAGCACCACATAACTGCCTGTAACTGCAGCCCAGGGGATCTGATGCCCACCTCTGGCCTCCATAGGCCCTTGCACTCATGGGCAAATTGCCACACAAGGACACACACACACACACACACACACAATTTTAAAAAAGTCATTAAAAAGAGATTATGAATGTGCATATATACATGTTTACATTTACAAAAGCCTAATACAAGGGGACGGATATGTGAGAACTTAGCAATGCTATCTGCCTCCCCAGACGGGAGTGGGGAGCAAGTATGCAGGATGACTTCCCAGGCCCTTCACTTCTATATGTTCTGAATTCTGAACTACATGGGTGTACTACTTATAAACAAAACAGCAATAACAAAACCCTCACAAATTAGAAATGGACCATGAGATGGTTTCTAAAATGTGACCAGTATGTATCTACTTCTTTTCCATCCCTTCCTATCTCAAAAGCACAAAGGGCTTTTGGCCAAACTCTCTCCTCAGCGCTCTCGCTACTTAAGGGGAACATTCGGTGGAGGCAGTCCCAGTCCGGAGTCAGGAGATGCCAGCCCCACCTAAGATGTGGCTCCCTCCTAAGCCACAGGCTAGGAGTATGTATCATGTGGCTCCCTCTCATAGACCTGCCCCCTGTGGGGCCACCTGCCCTCAGTGGGGTCCCGAGAAGCGAGCACAGGCAGAGAGAGGGCCTCACCGCTTGGGTCCGCTCTCGCAGGCTGCTGTCTTCGTAGTGTGGGTGGTTGGTTAGGGTCCTTCCCGTGCACAGCTTGACTCCGGCCAGCAGCTGCATGCTTCCAGCAAACACAGCCTTTCTTGGAGTGTTAGTGCTACAAGATTGCAGAGTCCGATTAACCCCACTGCTGAGATTCCCAAGACTGCACCAGGCCCTGGCAATCATGCTGCTACGAAAGGAGGGAGGTGTGAAGCCAGGGAGAAACAGGCCACTTGGGTTTTGATTTACAGCCAATACATTTTATGTAATAAACTCTTCTTTATTCTTTTCCTTTGAGACACCATCTCACGATATGTAGCCCAGGCTGGCCTGGAACTGGAGATCCTCCTGTCTCAGTTTCCCACGTGCCAGGGTTATAAGGTGTGTGATACTGCACTGAGTCCTATCTGTTGGGACTGTTCACTACAGCAAAGGGTGGGGAGTGGCCAGCTTTCTGATTCGAAAGGTTTACTTTTATGATAAATTGCCTTCAGAGGCAGGTAGCTAGCTCCCAGGCCACCATTTCTGTATAACCTTCTTTTTCTACTCTCCAGAAAGGCAGAGTCTAAACGAACCTAAAGGTTGCTGCTGCTTTTGGTACTAAAGGGCTGCTAAGGATGACTAAAGAAAAACACAATGAGTCACCTCCAAGGGGCTGTACTCTAAAACAGCGAAACAACAAAATCCAGTATTATGACAAATGGCTGTAAAGAAAAAAGCTCTGCAACTAAGAAAAATGAAAGCTGGAAAGAAACTTCTGAAATGGCAAAGGCCTGGGATGGGTGTTGTTTCTGACATGGAAACGTTATTTCTCTTTAGTCCTAATAGTGAAAAACATATATATATACAAAGCTTAAGGAACGCAGGGCACCCCAAGAGTATCCCCACGATCTCTCTTTCCAAAGGCTACCAAGCTCCATCTCCACCTCCCTATGGGCTGTGAGGGGCAGTGATGGAGGACCAAGGAAAGACTCCCACATCACACTTCCCTCACTCCTGGAGAGAAGGGATGGAGGGATGGATGAATGAATGTCTGGATGACTGGCTGGCTAGACAGAGAAACAAAGAGAGAGAAAGACAAAGGAAGTCTTGCTACATAGCCCAGGCTGGCCTCAAAATCACAATCCTCCTGCCTCAGCCTCTTGGATGCCAGGATTACAGGTGCACTATTATGCCTCAACAAAAAAAGAATCCCAGTAGCTGACTTAATTTCCTTCCATTCTGGGGAGACCCAGGAACTGTTACTTTACTGTAGAGAACACACATCTTACAGGGTGGTTCCTCCAAGACTTCCCCCGGCCCACTAGAAACTTTACAAGACATGTTTCTGTGTGGCAAGAAACAGACTTTGCTAAGTTATGCTAAAATGATGGAGGAAACTTGAAGGAGTCTATCTGAAAGTTTAAAAGCTGGGCAGGCTGCTCCCGGTACAGAAAGCAAGGCCTTACTAAAACCCATTCTGGCCAAGGCTGCTCTGAGCCATCTCTTCACACTCGTGCCTCCCTCCAGAATGCTCTATTTATTCCAACTCAACACCAAGACCATGGCTCAACACCAACAAAGGCCTGCGGGTGTCTGTGGGCAAGACATGCTATGCTTCAAGGGAAGACACAAAAAAATGTACTTTTAGAAAATTCGAGATTTCTTCCTAACGATGACATTCATTCACTCCTGTGTTCCGATAAGCTTCCTGAGGGAACAAAGTGGATGGCGTTACAATGTGTGCAAGGTGACATATCATCTGCACCTTCCTTTGCCCTCACTGGAGTCTAGAACACTGTTTTCAACACAGAAGTTAAGCATGAGCTTGGCTGGCTTGGCCGGCTGAGAGCATTCTGAACAAGCAGATTAGGAGCACAGAACAGACAGATGTTTGCTCTGTCCCCCAATCCCCCAATTTCCAGGGAGGCTTTGATACTTGACCCACATGGTCAGAGCCAAGAGGAGGGTTCACATGAAGACGTGCAAAGACACAGAGCTTCTTGGTGCCGGGACTTGAGGAGAGCATTTATTTCAATTCAATTCAATTCAATTCACGCTTAACACACACACCCTGGGCCTTGCATCTGCTGCTACCCTGATCTATAGTTCACCATGGCTGCTAAAGAGGGCAAATACAGACACGTGCGAATGAATGGCAGAGCCTCTGCCCAAACCTTGCAGCTGCTCTATGTTGCATGTTATTCCACTGCAATAAATCACACAATAGCGTCACACTTGAATGCTAAAGGGTGACCATCCTCTGCACCGCACAGATTAAGATCTCGCAGGCGAGGAACCTAGTTTTCATGCCTGGCAGAGCATGAGTTACAGCCAACACTATTGTGCAGGCAGGCCTGGCTGGCAGTGCCAAGCTGGGCTTCCCACATGAAGACAAATTCAGCACCTGAACTCCCAGCATTCATTCAAATCACAAGCCTGACTTAACATCAGAGTTCTGAACACGTGATCAGCACCAAGAAGTTGCCCAGAGTTGTTCACACTGTGCATTTTATAGTGATGGGGGAGACAGCCGACCACCTGTTATCTCCTCAGTAAGGACCCAGGGATCAGCCTGCTTCAATCATTACACCTCAACGGGTCAGAGTTCACAAGGGTTAAATGGTAAAAGTCCCAACTATTTGTGGGTGAGTTATAAAGTTCTTTTTTGTTATTTTGAGAGAGGGTTTTACTATGTAGCCTAGGCTAGCCTTGAATTTGGGACACTCCTGCCTCAGCATCCTAAGTAGTAGGATTGAAAGTATGTGCCAACCTAAAGGTTATTCTTTATTTTTAAATATTTATTTTATGTGTATGAGTGTTTTTGTCTGCACATATGTAAGTACAGCATGTGCATGCAATGCCCACAGAGGCCAGTACAGGGTATTGGATCCCTTGGAACTGAAGTTACAGCTGGTTGTTAGTCACTATGAGGGTGTGTTCTAGTTTGCCTTCAATTGCTGTGACAAAACACTCTGGCCAATACCAACTTCAGGAGAAAAGGGTTTATTTGGCTTACATCTCCCAGGTCACAGTTCATCAGGGAGCCCAAGGTAGGAACTCAGGGTAGGAACCTGGAAGCAGGAGCTGGAGCACAGGCCAAGGAGGAATGCTGCTTACTGGCTGGCTCCCCTGGCCTGTGCTCAGCCTGCTTTCTTATACAATACAAAACAACCCAACCAGGGGTGGCACCACCCACAATCTGCTGGGCCCTCCCACATCACTCAAAATTCAAAATACCCCACAGACATGGCAAGAGGCCAGTCCAATGGAGGCAATTCCCCAGATGAGGCTCCCTCTACAGTGTGTCATGTGTCAAGTTGACAAGGAAAGCTATCCAGCACAGGGTGATCGGAACTGAACCCAGGTCGTCTGTAAGAGCAGCCAGTGCTCTTAACCACTGAGCCAGCTCTCAAGCCTTCTACTTTCCTTTGAATCAAATTTCCTTGATATTTTGCTATCTATGTGTGCTTTTATTTCATTCTTGAGTAATATGTCAAGAACTTGGAAACATGTGGCCTGAACCCTGACCAACACTAAACCCACTGCTGAGCCTAGATAATGTAGGCTACTCCACTGCTACTTTAGAAGAATCTATGTCTACCAATAAAGAAACAGCAAAACAATAATTAGGTGGAATAAAAAAAAAATCACATTTAAAAATTTTTTTATTTTACGTGTATGCGTGTTCTGCCTACATGTATGTAAAGTGTACCCATGTATATAATGCCTGTGGAGGCCAGAGGAGGGCGTCAGATCCGCTGGAACTGGAGATATGGGCAGTTATTAGCTGCCATGTGGGTGCTGGGAACAGAATCCAGGTTCTCTGCAAGAGCAACCAGTACTCTAACCACTGAGCTATCTCTTTAGACCCCTTAATATTTTTCAAGATCACATTTACTGTACTTCATTTTCTGTGGTGTGGCAAAGAGAAAAGGGATCTTTTGTCCTTAACTCTTTTTATTTTTATTATTTTTATTTTACGTGTATGAATCTAATGCCTGCATGTAGGTAGGTGCACCCATGTCATGCAATGCTCGAGGTCAGAAGAGGACATCCAGTTCCCTGGAACTGGAGTTATGGATGGTTGTCAGTCACCATGTGGGTGCTGGGAATTGAACCCAGGTCCTCTGTAAGAGCAGCCAGTGCTCCTAATCGCTGAGCAATCTCTCCAGCCCCCTGTCCTTAACTTAAATCCTGCACCCTGGCAGACCTGAGGTGAAGCAGTTTTCCTTCAAGGATGTCATACCTGATATCATATGGCCTTTTATTAGAGACCGCAGACACACTCAACCACTGGATGACACTTCTCCATGACAGAAAAACAAAGCAATTTTTACAAATCAATGATGTACAAAATAAAGGGATGATTTGTGTTTATAGCTCTCTGTCAAGCTCTGTAGCAGGCCGCCCAAACTGCAGACAATTTGCTCTGTAAGAAATGTTACTAGATAGAGACAAGGACCCACAGGTCAAACAGATTCACATCATATCATTTAAACTGGCATTTCGGGAAGACCTGATGGCATTTGAAAGACTTTCTCTCATTCAGTCTCGAAGCTCTAAGCTTGAAGTTAGTTACTGTTGCACTGACAGGTACACTGGGCACTGCGATGAGACCGTCTGCACACTCGGCTCACCTTCACTTCAAAGTTTGCAGAGCTATGCAAATACCAAAAACGATTCATTACATTTAAAAGAGGTTCAAAGGCATTTCAAACCGGAACTTAGACTGCACTGTCTTGAAAACATACAGTGAATCCTTCTACTTTGGTTAAATGTAATATTTATTCATGGTTTTCCATGTTTTTCAGCTCCCTTGAGACCACAGTACATATGCAGGCTTCATTACTGCAAAGAGACTATTTCTAGTGAAAATCTCCCAAAGCCAAGTAGTTAAAAATGTCATCCGCAAAACACTCAGATCTACAGATCTGTCTTAACTACTTAAGAAAATGTTTGGGAAGAACAACGAGGCACTTGGGAACAGAGGCATGTGGTGGGGTCCGGCCGGCTGCCTCACTCCCTCAACGTGCTTTCTCACCACAGCTAAAGCCTCTGAAAGCCTCCTTGGCTTTTGCTGAAAGAGGCATCAGAAGGCAAGAGGACCCGGGATTATCATCTCTGTATCTAGGAAACATTATCAGCAAGGAGGGCACATCTCAACGTTCACGTTTACATCTGCTGTAAAGTGAGGTGCACAGCACCTGG